GAATCATTAGCTCCCCATTGCTCCTTCAGCCTGGCCCCTGGCATCCAGCTCTGCCTCTGAATCTGACTGCTCCAGGCACCGAGTACAGGTGGGCTCCTGCAATGTTTGTCCTTTTGTGATTGCTTGTTACACTTAGCATAATGTCTTCAAGGTTCATCTGTGTCTTAACAGAATTTTGTTCCTTTTTTTAAAAGATTTTATATATTTTTAGACAGGGAAAGGGAGGGAGACAGTTAGAGAAATATCAGTGTGTGGTTGCCTCTCACATGGCCCCCCACTGGAGACCTGGCCTGCAACCCTGGCATGTGCTCTGACTGGGAATTGAACTGGCGACCCTTTGGTTTGCAGCCTGTGCTCAATCCACTGAGCTAAATCAGCCAGGGCAAATTTTGTTCTTTTTTAAGGTTGACTAATAGTCTGTTAAATGTATACACTACATTCCGTTTACCACTTTTTCATCAGTATTCAGTTGGGGTGCTTCCACCTTTGGCTGTTGTGAATAATGACGATGTGAACATGGGTGTACCTCATTGCCGCTTTTGTAAAGGCGGTGAATAGCAGCTAATCCTTATCTTTTTAATCTAAGTATCATTCCAAATGAAGAGAAAGATGTTTATCTTTTGGAGTTTGGTGTTTTATTAAAATTGTTTTTTTTTAATTCAGATTAAATTTAAGACCTGAATTTGTTCCTGCTGTTTAATCACTGCTTTGCTTGTGATTAGCCATGTAGAACAAGAAGTTCTTCATGGAGAGAGTGTCATATTTAGAATCTTGTAGTGGTATAATTTAACTCAACCAACTAGTAGCATTCGATGGTACACTATATAGCATTTTGTATTAAAGTGTTTGTCATATACCTGAGCCTTAAACTCTCTTCATATGTAACTAATTTATTTGCTTGGGTGTGTGTCCTAGACATTCCACCCATATTCTAAACAGTCTTGTGAAAAGCCTTCTCTTAATATCTGTGTGTCAATCAACAGAGCTGGGGTGGGGATTTTGTTTGGTAAGTAAAATTGAACTAATAAAGCAGTGAAGACAGTTGTTTACATTTTAAAGGCCACCTTTGATGTAAGTTAGATGTAGGAACACTTAAAAGTATTGCATTTAAAAAAATCCTCACTTGAGGACATGCTTATTGTTTTAGAGAGAGAGGGGGAAGAGGAGGGAGAGAGAAGGGAGGGAAACATAGTTTGGTTGCTGATGTACGTACGTGCCTCAGCTGGGGACAGAACCCAGGCATGTGCCCTGACCAGGAATGGAACCTGTGACTCTTTGGTTTATGGGATGATGCTCCAACCAACCGAGCCACGCTAGTCAGGGCAAGTATTGCATTCTTAAGGGCAAAATGACTTTAGATTGGATATATTACTTAATAGGCAATTATTTGTATTATAGGGTTTTCCGTGGATTGGTTCCTTTTTCATGACATTTTTAATTTTTTTTCTCTTTTTAAAATTTTAGATTTTGCTTATTTATTTTTAGACAGAGGGAGAAAGAAAGGGAAAGAGTGCCTCTTGCGTGCCTCCTGATGGGGACCTGGCCTACAACCCAGGCATGTGCCCTGACTGGGAATTGAACTGGCAACCCTTTGGTTCACAGGCTGGTTCTCAATCCACTGAGCTACAGTAGCCAGGGCCCTTTTTTATTTCATGCTTACTAATTATTAGTTGTATCTGATGAAGTCATGAAAGGGAGGAGAAAAGACCTGTGAAGAGGACAGGGAAAAGCATACAAATATTGAAGAAAAAATGTTTGGATCTTTCCTCAATTCTAGATCATTTGAAATGAAGGCAAACTACTTGGGGGGCAGGACTTGGTTTGTGGTTTTTCAGGCATGCACTCTAGATGTATAGTTCTGTATACAGAACTATACATGCAGCTCCTCTGCTCAGACCAAATGTTCTTGCAAGAAACTAATAACCAACCTTGTGGTGAATGGTGAGATAGATTGAGTCACAGTACAGTTTCCGGAGAGTTGATAATGCGTTTGTTATAATACGGATTTGACTGCAAGGGGCCAGCCAATACAGTTTGTTGAGCTCTGGGCTTAAGGAAAAGGAGGAAGTAAGATTGCATGTTTGAAAAGTTTTTGCAGTGTGGCTGAAACTTTCTTGCTGCATTTCTGGTATAGTCTAGAGAGGATTTAAACACAAACATTAGACTTTATGGTAGTTGACTATAGTGGAACATATGCCGTTTTGATGGTTAGTCTTCCATGCCGAGGTGAAACAGCTGTGATGCTTCCCTTTCAGTTCTCTTTGCCAGAAAAATGTACTGGCTAAAAAAAAAAAAACCACTATTTTTTTTGTATTTCCAGGTTATATCTTTGAGAACTAATGTAGAATAACTGATACAACAAAAGTTGAGTTGTGGCAGGCATAAGAGGGGAATTTTTTTTTTTGGCATTTGTCTCAGTTATATAAGTTTAAAACCGCAACAACAAAAAGAAATGGCATTTCCTAGCAGTGGAAGTACTTTAAAAGTTATACTGGTAGTGTGATATCTGGCCTAGGTTCTTTGGGAAATGACTGGGAAATACATAATGACTCTAGTGGAGTACAGCTCCTTTCTTAGATAATATCTTTGGGTAGTAGGGATAAGGCAAACAGAAACAGTTTCGTACTTCGGGCCAGAAAAATATAAGACTATAACAATATGAGAACATAAACACAGCCTACATGTTTTTTAAAAAGCTTTATTGAAATATAATTTACATATTACACAGTCAACCAATGCAGTGGTTTATATTATGCTTATTCCAAGTGTGCAAATCTCAGCATAATCAGTTTCAGTACAGGGTCATCACCCCAAACAGAAAACCGTATCTACTAGCAGTCACTCCCAAATCCTCAGAAATAATGAGTCTATTTTCTGTCTCTATTTGCCTATTCTGGACATTTGGAATAAGTAGAATCATATGATATGTGGTTTCTTGTGACTGGCTTCTTAGCACAGGCTTCATCCATGTTATAGTATGTATCAGTACTTATTTCTTTTAATTGCCACATAATGTTCCATTTGACGGCTGTCCACTTTTACCCATTGATTAGTTGATGGACAGTTGGGGTTTTTCCACTTTTGGGCTATTATGAATAGACGTATAATACTGCTATGAACATTCATTTACAAACTTCTGTGTGGACAAGGGTTATCATTTCCCTTGGGTATATATCTAGGAGTGGGAATTGCTGGGTCTTGTGCTAACTTTGTGTTTAACTTTTGAGACATTGCCAGATCCTGTGGGTATTGCTGGGTCATATGCTAACTCTGTGTTTAACTTTTGAGGAACTGCCAGACTGTTTTCCAAAATGACTGCACCATTTTACATTCTTACCAGTAATATATGAAGGTTCCAATTTCTTCACATCCTTGCCAATACTTGTTACTTTCCATCGTTTTTATTATAGTTAATGTTAGTGGTGTGAAGTGCTATCTCATTGTGGTTTTGATTTGCATTTCCCCAGTGTCTAATGATGTTGAGTGTCTTTTCTAGTGCTTATTGGCCATTTTTGTATCTTTTTTGAAGGGATGTCTATTAGATCCTTTGCCCATTTAAAAATTAGATTTTTTTTTATTATTGAGTTGTAAGAGTTCTATTTTCCAGTGCAAGTCCCTAATTAGATAAATGATTTACAGGTAGTTTCTTCATTGTGTGGGTTGTCTTTGTTGTTGTGTGGGAGGGTTTTCTTTTTACTTTCTTGGTGCATATCAGGAATCAGATATTTTTCATTTTGATGTGGTTCAGTTTATGTGTTTTTTCTTTTGTCTCTTGTGCTTTTAGTGTCTGAGAACCATCACCTAACTGCAAGTCATGTGGCTTTACCTTTATGATTTCTTCAAAGACTTTTATAGTTTTCGTGCTTACACATTTATGTCTGTGATCTGTTGGAGTTAATTTCTGTGTGTGGTATTAGGAAGGGGTCTGACTACATCTTTTGCACGTGGATATCCAGTTATGCTGGCACCACTTGTTGAAGAGACTCTACTTTCACCATTGGATTATTTTGACACCATTGTCAAAGTAATTTGGCCATAAATGTGATAGTATATTTCTGGAGTCTCTGTTCCATTGATCCATCTGTCCGTCCTTCTATCCTTATGTTAGTATCACATTGTCTTGATTACTGTAGTTTTGTAGTAAGTTTGAAATTGGTGAATAAAGCCTTTCTACTTTGCTTTTCTTTTTCAAGATTGCTTTGGCTATTCTGGATCTCATGCATTTTCATATAGATTTTAGGATCAGCTTGCTAATTTTGGGGGGAAAAAGCCAGCTGTGATTTTGATAGGAATTGCCTTGAATCTTCTAGACCAGTTTAGGGATTATTACCATCTTAGTGGTTTTGAGTCTGTCAGTTCATGAACATAAATGTCTTTCCAGTTGTTTGTCTCTATTTCTCTGAACAATGTTTTAGAATTTTCAGTGTACATATCTTATACTTCTTTTAAATTTTCTGTTTAGTATTTAAATCTTTTTGATGTTATTGTAAATGGAATTGTTTTCTTAACTTTATTTCTGGATTTTTCATTGCTGGTGTATAGAAACACTGCTGATTTTTAGATTTTGATCTTGTATTCTACCACCTTGCAGAACTTACGTATTCCAGTAGTCTTTTAGTGGAATCCTTAAGATTTCCTGTATACAAGATCATATCATCTGCCAGTAGCGATACTTTTACTTCTTTCCAATCTGGATGCCTTTGATTTGTTTTTCTTGCCTCACTGCCCTGACCAGAACTTCCAGTGCAATATTGAATAGCAGTAGTAGACATCCTTGTCTTATTCCTGTTGTTAGCAGGTAAGCTGTGCATTCTTTCACCATTAAGTGCAATGTTAGCTGCAGTTTCTTGTAGATGCTCTTTATCAGGTTGAGGAAGTTTCCTTCTATTCCCAGTTTGTTGAGTGTGTTTCTCAGGAAAGAGTGTCGGATTTTTGTCAAATGCTTTTTCTGAAGTAAATTACTTTAAAATGACTATTTTTCCTTTTTTTTTTTTTTGCAGAAATTGACTTGCATACCAAATGTGTGGTGGATGTAGATGCAAACAAGGTTATTCTTAATCCTGTAAATACTAATCTTTCCAAAGGAGATGCCCGGTAAGTTAAGAAACAGTGTTATGATCAATGGATTTTTAAATGACTGAAAGTAACAGTGGCTATTGAATTGAGTTCATCTTAGCAAATATTGAATGCTTACTGTGTAGAGACATACTGCTGTCAAGGTGTAGAGATGAGATCTATAATATGGAATGACTAATGTGTTTTTTTAGATTTTATTAGAAGCTCAGAGAAGAGAGCTTAGATTAGATGGCAGAGTAACTAAGAAAGGCTTTTTGAAGGAGCCGATATTGGTTGGAGGATTAAGGGAGATGTAAATGGGAAGAAGTGGGGCAGAAGGGAAGGCTTGTAGGTTGTGCCTGTTTGGGTTGCTCTTACTTCTGCCAGTTCAAATCCTATGTGTCTGTCAGCGCATTTCAAGTGCTGCCTTCTACCTAAAGGCATTCCTGCCAGCCACCCTTAGTGATTCTTTTTTAGATTCCTGTAAGCTACAGTCTCTACTGCCCAGTTCAATTACTATGTATTGTTTTGGATGGTTCATTGTAGCTCTCCAATAGAACTTAAGGCCTTGGAGGGAAGGGACTCTCTGTCAGGGGTTGAGGGTGATACTTGAGCATCACTTTCAGATTTGGGCCATAGAATGAATGAGAGGGAGGGAGGGCAAGAAGATACAAAGAAAGTGAATTAGAGGAATAAGGAAGAGATTAATTAGTTTTATTTCAATAAACACAGAGGAATTAGTTTAATTAAATAAACTGGGATCAAATTGCAGAAGACCTGGAAAGCGGATCAGGAAATTTGGCCAGTATGGGTAAGATGTCACCTTTGACCATTTTTGAATATTGTGATTAAGGAAGTGGATTAGGAAAAGTTGTCAGTTGGCAATGTAGGGGATGGGTCAAAGTGGGGGAAAGCCTGGCTTTTTTATAGACATTAGCTATATCAGAGATGTTTTTGTACTGATCTCAGAAGTGGAGAGCGCATAGAGAGACAGCACCTGCCATGATGCTTTATACAAAGTAGGGACTTTATAAATGCTTGTAGAAATAGTGTTGTTTATAGAAATACATACACTATAATGTTCTTTGGAGTGAGTTCAACTGAGTTGACGAAAGCACTCGACTTGGAGTCAGAAAATCTGAAATAGAATTCTTACTTAACTATGTTATTGTAGCTGTTTTTAACTTTTTTGAGTCTCACCTATGTGATGCTTGCTTTACCTGTCTCATAGAGGTGTTTTCTGGAGATCAAAGCACGTTAAAGTGCTTTGTAAAGTGTTTTACAAATGGCCAGCTTTATTGTTATTGATGGAGAGGTAGTTCTTTGGCATGTCTAGCATATGGGCATTATCAGATATGCTGTTATTAGAGTGTGAAGGGTGTAGATGTGTCAGAAATGATCCTGGGATTTTGAGGTTGCTAATTGAATGACCTGTTGTCCTGAATATTAATTAAAATCATTAATTTGGGGGGCTGTTTATTGCTCTTCAATTTTTTAATCTCTAAGACTGTTGCTTTATTTGGAAATATTGGTACTGCTGAACAAACTTGGCAAGTTGTAGAGATGAGATCTTATGATAGAATATCTACAATATCTTATGATAGAAGGAGTTTGGGCTTTATACATAAACTGACATAGATTTCAATTCTGGCTTTGCCAGTTGCTAGCATGGTTACCTACCTGTGTCCTTTACTTATAAAATGTTAGTTTTCTATTGCAGTATAACCAGTTACCTCAGAAGGCTAGTGGCTTCAACCAGAATCATTTATTATCTCATGGTTTCTGTGCATCAGGAATTCAGACAGGGCACAGTGGGACTTGTCTCTGCTCCATGCTATCTGGGGCCTCACTGGGGCCCAGACTGGAAGGCTGTGGCTGGAATCATCTGGACGAGGCTTGGTCACCCAGGTCTGGTAGTTAATGCCACTTGTTGGTTGAAGATGTCACTGGGAGAGTGGGCAGAACACCTACTCACAGTCTGGTGGCAGGGTTCACGAACAGGCATCTCAGAGAAAGTCAGAAAGCCAGGTGGAAGGAGTATTGTTTTTATGTCCTAACTTTGAGAGTCATGCAGCGTCACTTCTGCCACATTTCCCTGCTCAAGGCTGATATAAAACTACATGGTTTTAGGAAGAGGAAGCAGACTTATCTCTCAGTGTACAATAGGAGCTTCATTGTCTCATTAAAAAAACAGTAGGGATGGGATATGTATTGTTGTGCTGTCTTTGGAAAACAGACCGCCACAAGTATGTCATAGCATCTACCTGGTAAGGTTGCTGTGACAATAAAATAAGCACATAGAAGCTAAAAAAGAAAGGTTTCCTTTCCTTTTGAGATCATTAGATCTTGGGGATTTGTGAAAGAATTAAATAGCACTTTTTGGTTTTATAGAATGTCTTGCATGGCGCTTTCCCTCCCACATGCTTAACACACAAATTGGGTGTTGTAGAGTACCGTCTGATAAAAACAGGGACAGCTTCCAGTAAGGTTGGTATGTTATGGGGTTTTTTGAAGTAGTGATAAGAAGCATGGCTTTTTGTAAAAAAAAAAACAGCTTTTTATTGAAGTATGTAATATACATATAGAAAAAGTATGTAAGCTGATGAATTTTTGTAAAGATACCCTATAATAAGCACCCAGATAAAAAAAACCAAGAGCATTGTTAGTATGACAAAAGACTGCCTTGTGAGAGCACTTTTTATTTTAATCTAATATCAAGGTGAAAAGAAAAAAATGGAAAATTTGAAATGTAGCAGTTCAGTGGTTCACTTCATTAAATTTGAGGAGACATAGGAAAGCACAAATTAAATACTATTTTATATGATATGAGATTAAATACAGTTTAGCTTATAAAATGACTGACTAATCCATAAAACAAGTTATGGTATTATATAAGCTAGAGAGCCAGGGATTTGAAATTAACATGTAAGTGATTTGAGTCAGTTTGAGTCACTAGTCAGAAGGCTCAAATTAAAATTTTTCCTCAAAAGCCACAATATCTTTGCTTTTAGAATAGTATTCAATTCTACCAATCTAAAACTGTGACTAATTTTACTTATTTTTAAGATTTTATTTATTTATTTTAGAAAGACAGGAAGGAAGGGAGAAAAACAGCAATGTGTGAGAGATACCCGGCCTGCAACCCAGACATGTGCCCTGATGGGCAATCAAACTAGCAACCTTTCAGTTTGCAGGCTGGTACTCAATCTTCTAAGCCATACACCACTCAAGGCTAAAACTATGACTTGTGTGTGTGTGTGTGTGTGTTATATAACCTAACAACTGAAGTTTGTATATGCTGAAAGTGAATATAAATTTTGAAACAATTGTTTATATATTTTTTCTGATTAATTTTGCATGAACTTCTTAAAGTTTTATAATTTGATGCTTATGTACATTAAAACTGATAGAAATCATGGTTAAATGAATAGGTAAGCCATTTCCAGTTTAACAGCTCAATCATGGGGATTTGGGAAACATTTTTGCTATGATATATATAGCATTTCACAACTGTTTTGAAAAATGAGATGCTTAAAATTCAGCAAATTGGATAGCAAAAGGCTAATGATATTAAAAATGCTGATTTTGGAGCCAGATATTCTGGATTTAATCCAAGCTACACCACTTCACACATGTGATATGGAGCCCTTCACCTCAGTTTATCCATCTGTAAAGTGGAGATTATAATAGTACCTGCATAGAGGTTGTTGTAAGGATTAAACAAGTTAAAATATGTAAAATTTCATTGCCTATTTATTTATAATGAACCTTATATAAATGTTTGCTATTATTCGAGCATTACTATTATTATTATGCCCTGTATTTAAGTTACAGTCCATAGTATGTTTAGTGAGCTAAACTGGCTCACATTTCCTTGCTCAAGGCTGATAAAAAAACTTCATAAAGGAAGTAAAAATTTTTTTAACCAAAATGTATTCAATTCAGTACTAATACATGCCTATTAAGAAATTACCTAGCTCACCCTGGCTGGTATAGCTCAGTGGATTGAGTGCCAGCCTGTGAACCAGAGGGTTACTGGTTCGATTTCCATTCAGGGCACATGCCTGGATCACAGGCCAGGTCCCCGGTAGGGGGAATGCGAGAGGCAACCATACATTGATGTTTCTTTTCTTCTCTTTTTCCCTCCCTTCCTGTCCCTCTAAAAATAAATGAAATAAAATCTCTTTAAAAATAGTTGATAAAAAAAAGAAATTACTTAGCTCTATAAAAATTTCAGCGTTACAAAGTCAAAATTTTTATTTTCTCTAGTTTGCTCAGTGTTGATGAGGTGAGGCTCTTAGGGACTAACATGCCATCTGTTAGAAAGATAGAGCCCTTTATTTTATGTTTACAGTGAATGAAATATTAATACTTGCAATCTGGGCTTTTCTTCTTGGTATCAACTAACTTGGGAAACCAGGTCAAAATATTGCTAGTGAACAAGGGTAAAAACAAAGGTACATTTTATCAAATATGAAAAAGATTAAAGATGAACTCTTTCTATGCCACAGCATGCGATTTGAACACTGAAGTGACGAAAATATACCAGATCGGTTATATATATATATAGTACTGGATACACACTGGTAGATTTGCTCTATTTATTTCTTCATGGTACACTGATTATACCACTAGTACAATTAAATGTCTTTTTGGAATTGCCTCTTTGTCCTGCATCAAATTAGTTTTCTAGATTGGTCCTTTAGGTTTCCCAAATCTTCATCTGCAACATATGTACAATCATCTTATAAATGACTAATTTGTTAACTATTCTGGGTAGACTTCTACAAGTGTAATTTTCAGTGTGTGAGTCTTAGCATTTAGGAGTATTTTCAGTCCCTTTTGAACTAATGACAATAGTACCATAATGTATAACAGTCCCCTTTTAAATAACAAAATAAATTTTAAGCCTTATTTTGTTTGAATTATATTTTAAAATGTATTAACATTTTATTCTATAATAAAATGTTATTATAGACTACTTAGTCTATAATAGACTAGTTAGCCTGTCACCACGCTAAGATAAAATAGTTTATTTT